AAGGGGGCACCAAGGACATCAGTGACAAAGACCATTCCTCATTCCTGCTGACAAGCTGCTTTATGTGGTGTCTGTTTATGACAGAAACTTTCATTTAATGACAGCTGCCCTTTATTGAGCAAAGACTACCTAACAGACATTTTCCTGGGCTTTCTGTATATTATATGTATGCTTCACACAAATACATGGAGTAGGCGAAATATTAAGTAAGGTGACTAAGTTCACACAGATAGTAAACTGCAGGTAAATCTCAGATCTCTGTTCATAATATATTAGAGTACAAAAAGCCCCATTAAGTTTAACTGGCCAAGATTATAAAATCCCTAGCCTATCTGTAGGAAGACCCACCTCTTCAATCTCACTGGTCAATCACCTGGTGATAGAACCACTCCTAGGAAGGCAGGTTCACCTTAAGTTATGCTAAATAGTTGGGTGGAGTACCTGTTGCATTAATGAGGTAGTGAATTTTCCTGCCTGGAATCCTGCTTTTCAGCACAAAAATCTGCAGAACTTCTGGGTGAGTCATAGTCATGTAGGTCTCTGAGAGTCTGTCTGCTTTCCTGAACTCTTCAGGAAAGTGTAATTTCTCTTTTCCTTCTTCATGCCTCTCCCACTAAACATGCTTTCTTTAAGGCTTCGGGCTGCCCCTAGCATCTTGTAGTTCTTCACTTTTTCTCCAAAGCTTCCTTCTCCCAGCCATGTGGCTGTGAGTCAGACACGTGTCTGACTCCCACTCAGGCTCTAAACCTGCATGGCTCCATGGCTTTCTTTCCTTCTTCCCACTATTCACCTCCTCAAGGCAGCTGCCAAGATGACCAGCTCGCCTGCCCTGAGGATTTTCCTTTAAGATTCTAATAAAATTGTAAAACCTTCCGTTCGGGTCCATTCTTAAATTCTTTTATGAATGAGACTAAGAACCCTCTAGGGGACCCTCTTTCTCCCTGTGTCAAAAATTTCAAAGCCAAATAGGTTGACAGATCCCTAAGACTGCCTCACATGCCACCAGAATCTCTGGCCCTGGTGGAAATGGATGGTTTATGTCTTGATTCTTTTGAAATATTTATGGATCCATTAATCTACCGAGTGTTGCAATTTACTGGCAGGTTGTATGTACCCATTGGCACCTTTTTTTCTTCATTTATTACTTAATTAACTTGGGTACTTATTTTATGCAGGAGCTAGCAAATTGAGACTGGAAAAGCATACAGCTTGGAGAAAGACATACAAACAAATATGGCAGTGTAATTGAAGTTGGAGCAGAGGTAAAGCATCAGGGTCAGCAGACAGGAGCTACTGCCTGCACTGAAACATGGGGAGGACAGCCAGCGAACTCAGCAGGATTTCATGGCCTGTTCAGAGAGGAGCAGCAGTTTCAACAAGGGCTGGAGACAGTGTAGGAGATGAGAGAAACGGCACAGGATTTCAGGGTCACTAGAGACCCTGTGTCTCTTGGTAGAGGGTATGGTCTTTATCCTGTGGCATGGGACAGTTTCAGATGAAGCTTGCCATTTTTTAACCAGGTAGAATTTCTATTAGTAGATGGCAAAAACTGTATCTACATTTGGGGGAGGGCTATCCTTTTTGATGACAGGTTAATATTATATAGGGTGCTAGGAACGTAGCTTACTGGTAAAGTACTTGTCTAGCATGAGTGAGGCCCTCTGTTGGGTATCCAGGACCGTAAAAATATTATGGTCCTGGTTAGAGTTTATTGCCAGCTTGACACAACCAAGAGTCACCTGGGAAGAGGGCGTCTTAGTTAAAATTTCCCAGATCAGATGGATCTGTGGTCATGTCCTTGGGGAACTGTCTTGATAAGTAACTGAGGAATGGGGGTGGGGGAGCCCACTGTGGGTCATGCCACCCAGGGGTAGGTGGGTGTGGGTTATATAGAAAGCTGGTAAAGTAAGAGCCAGGGAGAGTGAGCCAGCAAGCAGCCTTCCTCTCTGACTTCTGCTTCAGTTCCTGCCTCTGAGTCCTGCCTTGGATTTCTGCCCTGACTTCCTTCAGGGATGGACTGCTACCTGCAAGAGTAAGCACAAATAAATAAACCCTCTCCTCCTGTAAGTTGCTTTTGGTTACTGTTTTACCACAGCAACAGAAACGCAAACTAATCCAGTTAGTTTACATAATAGAGTTATAATAATTGTTGTGGAGTAGAAAATGATTATCTCCTAATATGTATTTGTTTAACAAATGCCCAGAAAGCTAACTCTGTAACATACTGTATCATGTTTCAATGGTCCTTAATCCCATCCTTCTGTACTGTCAGCCCTGAACACTGAATGGTAGGTAGTCAGTTTAAAATGCATGTCTGAGAGGTTTCTTGATTCTGAATACTATGTTCTTGTCAGGGACTGCTGCCCTTACAACCACCTCTGCCCTGGAGGTTTACCTTCTGTGACAAGGTTGGTCTTCACCCCATAAATTCAATGTGCTGACTAGCTCCTTCACATTATTTTTCATTCTAGCCACGGGATTCCTTTAGAAAGTAAAACTCACTAAGGGAAAGGATCAGGGAAGGTTTTAGGACTGAGCACTTTATTTCATATTCTGTAATAAAACCTGATACTTGCAAAGTTTAGTTATGTTCTCAGCTAAAGACACATCTGCATTTTCTCCTTTCTATGTTTAGTTCACGGAAGTCCCTCCCTGCTCCTGTTCCAACAGGCTGGGACATTAGTACTGGATCCTCCCTCTCCTACTGTGCCATCTTCTCTGCAGGGATCTGTACCCTGCCAAAGGTACCATATGGCATGGTGACTCAGGAGACGAAAGAGAGGGTGAGAAGAAATGGTGACAAAGGTCTCTGTGTTCTCCCCTGACATCCTTCCTTTTAACTCTCAACTGCGGATCCAGAGAACGGGAATTTGCTCTTCAGAGTGCAAGAATATGAGATGCTTTCTTGCTCTCAATGTGGCCCCTCACCTTAGACTGATTATTTCTTTAAACATACCTAAATGTGGCTTGGCAATTTCACCTTCCTATGCAGCTTAAGTACACGCAAAAAGGACTTGGAGTGCTCTGAGTGTTTGATCTCAAGCTTTATACAGCTTCTGCCTCTCTTCGTCCTGGTTCCAGATAAAAGGGAACCAACTGTTTTCTTGTTAAAGATCAAGGTAATCAGGATGGCAATTCAGGACATGACTCTGATCTCTGCAGGGAGAAAAGGAGGCCATGTGACGTTTTTCTATTAGGCGCAGTATGTCAGGTTTTTGTGGCTGTCAGACAGGGCATTTCATTTCAAGCCTATTTGTGATTTCTTTGTTGTTGTTGTTGCCAGTCTTAAATTCCTGGCACCATCCTCAATAAACTGAAGGAGACTGTTAGTATTTATTCCCATGCTAAGGGAAGAGCTAATGTTTCAAAGTCTTCCTAGACCCCTGCACTATTCTTCCTAAGTAGTGACTTTACTTATTTTCTGTAAAATAATACTGTGAAGTAGATGGTTTGTTTCCATTTCACAGATGAAAATCCAACATAGAAAGGTTAAGTAACTTATCCCAGATATATCACTCACACACATTAGTGGATCTCAGGTTTACATCTAAGCAGCTACAGTCAAGACATAAGCTAAGGAAGAATGGCTAGAAATTTAAAGAACAGCTCTTCCTCAGTCCTAGGCAGGTGCACGGTTTGCATCTGAAAGTGAGTGCTTCATTACATCACACCTTAGTCTCAGCCTTGAAAGCTAGCTTGCCTTGACGCTTAGGGTCTTAATCTTTATACATGCTATCTGTTTGGTCCTTACCTTTATGGATTAGAGTCAGCTGCAATGGAGAAACAGACTGAACAGAAAGAGACAGGATCTGTGAGTGCTGAAGAGACCTGCAGAGACTCAGCCTGAAGCAGGCTCCTTTCCTCTGGGTATAGTGGGCCTTCTTCCCTTGCATTTCCCTTCCCATTTTTCTCATTTATGGATTTGTCTCACTCTGCCTTTATCCAGAATGGAGAGGAAGAAAATACTTTTCATGGGGGAGCAAACCTGTCCTTCCCACAGAGAAAATTCTACAGCGTATCACAAAATTAGGTGCGTACTCAATCAGAGCTCCTGCGCCCAAGATTCTTATTTCATATTGCCAGGTCCATAAAGACACAGATGTGCATGTTGGTGCCAAAAATAATTCAAAGGCACACATCTGTTAAGAGTGTTGGGATCTTGAGCCTGGAGAGATGGCTCAATGATTAAGAGCACTGGCTGCTCTTTCAGAAGACCCAGGTTCAATTCCCAGCACCCACATAGCAGCTAACAACCATCCTTAACTCCAGGTCCAGGAGATCCAAAGCCCTCTTCCATTCTCCGCAAGCATTGCACAACACGGGTGCACTTACCTGTACATGGGTAATTCACTCGTACACATAAAATAATAAAAATAATAAAATAATTTTGGGATCTCATAACAGTGTCTTAGGAAGGGAATCCAAACTGTTTCTGAGAACAGGACAAGGTAGGCATCATTCAGGAACCCTGAATGTTAGTAAGGAACTGCCCCTTCCCAAATATCGTGCAATACTGAAGACTCTTTAGGGGTGGAGTAGATTTTGGATGGAACTACACTTTTCTTATTAATTAGCAAAGGGAAAAATTACTCTATCATTAAGATAAAGAGATCATTCATTTAGTCCTGAATTGCCCAAGCCTTGGGAAACTACAGAGACCAAGGGCCCACAATTTGGGGACTAACTCACCCTCCCAACCCAATAAACCGTAGATCAAGGACCCACTGGCTGTTAGGTGTGGAGAGCCAGCTGTAACTGAAAGCACAGCTGAAATGAAGGACTAGTCAGTGTTAGGATCTAGCAGCTTGTTTGAGCTTCTCAGCATCATATTAGAAAATCCCTGGTAGATCTTCCGGGCAAACTTTTGGCTTTGAGAAGACCAGTTGACAGTGGTTATACTATCGCCACTAAAGTCATCACCAGAGCCTTACTGGAAGCAGCAGCCAAATGGGCACGCTAAGTTGTGCTAAGCTAATGGGTTGTGAGGGAACAGCACTTGCCTCTTTGATCAAGTTCATGAATCTGGGCCCAAGGCGCCATGGCTTGTGTCGATGGCACTGAAGGGAGCTGACAGTCAGCTGCGAGGCACGGTGGGAGGCGATAGCTACCATGTACACAGCATCATACATCAGAGCTGCTTCCGTCTGTGGAGAAAAACATGCTCCATGTCAATTTCACCTTCATTACCTGGCTCTACTAGCATAATTGCGTAATTGCCATCCCTGCTTCGCTTCTTGCTGTACCTCTGATCTTAAAGGCTGTTTAGTCTTCACCTAAACCGTTTTCAGTCACTAATAGGTATTTTTCTCCAAAATAATATCTTATACTCCAGATTAAATTGGAGTCCTGTATCTGCTTGGTTTTGAGCTTTTAAAAACAAAACAAAATAAAACAAAAACTCAGATCAAACACAAAAGCCTGGGTTCAGGAAAAGTATCTTTAGAGTGTTTCCTGTGTTACAGCCTGGTGGTAACATTGAGTTAGAATCTACTAACAGACATTATTCCAATATCAGATCTTGTCTCTCAGCCCTCCCTCCTTCCTTCCCTCCCTCCTCCCTTCCGTTTTCCTTCCTTCCCCTCCCTTCTTTCCATTTTTCTTCCATCCCTCCACCTTTTCCTCCCTTATTCCCTCCCTCCCCCCTCCCTCCCTCCCTTCCCTTCTTCTTTCCTTTCCCTTCTTATTTCATATTTGTAAGAAAAATATTCTTCCAAGTGAACCAGTGGTTTCCAGATAAGGCTGCTGCGCTAGTCACTTTCCTTCCTCACATTTGAGGAGGGCCTGGTCATGGAATCAAGTTCAATGACAAGTTTCTGGAGATGCTCTGAGGTACAGATCTAAGGATCAGAATGAGCTTGTTCTTGCCATCCTGTGTCACCCAGACAGAGACTGAAAGTAGCTACTCCTCTTTGAGGCTGGTTAGCCCTCCTTCCTTTCCTCACGAAATTTTTCTCATTTTCCAAATTTCATATAATACAGTATTTTGTCAGATATACTGCCCTGTGGTTGGGATAAAAATCTCAATACCCTCATATTTTACTGGAAAGCTTTCGTTGCAACTTCAAATATATTAGCTCATTTGAAATTCTCAGTAATTCTCCAAAGTAAGCAGAACACATAGATAAAGCTACTTATTATGTGTAAAGGCTGACTTCCAGGCAGAATATTGATTTGTGGAGGGACATATGTATATAGCTGGAAAATTCACCAAGTGAAACCTAGAATCCAGGTTATGGGAGGAAATTATTCATGTGGGTTTCCGCAATTAGCTGATTTATTCACTGCTTAACATTCATTATGTCTTGATGGAGGTGGAAAGAGAGGGTAGGCATCTCATCATACATACATACATCATACATACATACATACATCATACATACATACAGCATCTCATCAATGTAGGAAAGGATTCCTCTGTTTTCAGCTCTTATTGTTCTGTGCAGTCTCTGTCATTGATCTTCCATATGTTCCTAGTCATTTGTTTCTAATACTTGTTGCTTGGTTAAAAAAAAAAAAAAAACTATTCTTAAAGGCAGAAATTCTTCAAATTCAACCTTTCCTGCCTAACACAATTCATGTTACATGAAAGTTGTTTAATAAATGTTCACCAAATGAATTAATATTTTTTCCTTTTGGCATTGTTTGCATATTTTGAAATTTTATTATTTTTAACTTTTACAAGAGAATTTTATACATGCACATAAAGTGTTTTGATGAAATCTGTGCCCACTCCCTCCCCTCCAACTCCTCCCATATCTCCCCATCACTTCTTTTTCTCTTTCTTTTTTTCTTCTTTCATTTATTTATTTTTATGGGGCTTTTGGATTCTCTAATAGTCCCCCTCCTGAAGATGTAACCCTAAAATCTTTTAAGGATTAGATACTTTTGATATTTTTGGCCTTTGGAACAGAGTATGTTGCTTACAGTCCCAGGGACATTTTGATTTTTAGTCAAGAAACTGGCTACTTTTCTTTGGGGTCTTTTTACCCTAACTGCCTAGCCAATTCCTACTTCCTGTTCTTACCATGCCATCCTCTGAAGGGGTTACCCAAATTGCCAATAGAGAATAGGGATGCAGACTGCTCTGGCTTCTTCCATGCTGAACATAGGCCAATAGGGAATAGGGATGCAGACTGCTCTGGCTTCTTCCATGCTGAACATGGACACAGGGTGAGGCAGTTGGAGTACCCCTTCAGTGGGCCTATCTAAAAGACTTCCAAACTGCATAACTCTTATCTCTAAAGGGAAAGGAAAGTCCTTGAATCCTGAATAGGAGATGTGAAGGAGAAGTAAAGGCAAGAGTAATTAGCATTACAAGTTCTAGACAGGGAACTTGAACAAAATCAGAACAGGGCAATTTTCAAATGTTCACATGAGAGTTCATTGGAGTTTCTTGACAAGGGCTTCCAAAAGCACCCTCTGCTGGGTTTCTCTTCATTTTTCTTTTGTCTTCCAAGGCGGGACTCTAGAGTGATGGATTCAGGATTTGCTTTCAGGTATATATATCCTATCCTTAAAATAAAATGCATTAAGTATCATATAACCTCACGCTTTAATGCAAACCACTCTACTTGTGGGGTTCGATGCCCAGTACCCACATGGCCTGTAACTCCATTTCCAGGGGAGTCTGACACCCTCTTCTGACCTCCACAGGCATTGCATGATATGGGTGCACTTACATACATACAAGCAATAAACTCATACACAAAAAATAAAAATATAAATAAAAATTTTAAAATGCTTAAAATGTTGATCAGTTCAACACTGATATAATCCATTTTGTAGATGAGAAAACTGAGGCTCCCAGAAGTTAACTGGTGCACATGTACCCTGCTAATCACTTAGATTAATTAGAGTTTTAGGACAGAATCTAAGCCCCTGCTTGTCTCATGCTAATACCCATGTTCTTTGCCATTCTTCTCTCCTGACTAGGCTTAATTGGGAAAAAGTGAGTCATTGGCACGTTGAGACTTTGTAAAATGAAATTAGTGGTAACCACTGGTGTTTGCTGTACAGTAATTCTATGACCAGTCCTGTTCATGGTCCTTTGCAAACATTGAACTTTCATCATCCCCTTTACTTCTTCATGGAAGAGAAATTAAGAGATTAAATGGTGTCTATTAACTAATAGTGAGAAGGGTAATATTCAGATCCCCAGAGTTGGTGATAAGAGCCCATTTGTCTTGTCTGATGATTTAATTTAAAAATTGTATCTTGATAATGGTTAATAGTCATTAACAATTTACTACAAGTATCTTATATATGCTATCTCCTTTGATTGTTAAATGTTTAAATTCTTTTCTATTCAATGAAAATTCATCCATATATACAATATATTTTGTTCAAATCCACCTCTGACACCACCACCCCCAGCTTCACCCAGACTCTCCTGTATCCCCTTCCCAAATTCATACTCCCCCCTTTTAATAACCCACTGATTCCAACTAGTGCTGCCCTTATGCATGTGGAAGCAATCCACGGGAGCATGGGCAACCTAGGAGAGGCCACACTCCTGAAGAAAACTAATTCTTCCTCCCCCATCAGCTATGAACTGTCAATAGTTCCCAACTACGGATTAGCTTTGTGAGTCCCACTCCTTAATTCATGCTGTAATTTTAACTCTCTTGATCTTGTGCAGGAATCCACAAGTACTGTAAGTTCATGAGTTCATGAATGCAATGGTCCTGTCATGTCCAGAAGACACTATTTTGTGTCAGTCCTTCCTGATCTCTGGCTCTTATAATCTTTCTACCTCCTTTTCCAAGATGTTTCCTGAGCTTTGGAGGGAGGGGGTGATATAAATGTTCGATTTAGAGCCAAGTCCACAGTCACATATTCTTAAAACTTTGGTTATGAGACTGTGTGTTAACTGACATCAACTACAATGGGAAGCTTTTCTGATGAGGGGTGAAAGCTGAACTAATCTATGGGTAAAAGATAAGTATAGAAAAGGTGGTTTGATACTATGTTCATTAGCAAACTAATAGTAGTACATTCACCCCTAAGGCCTGTAAACAGATTTTTGGCTTGATTTATAGCACCAGGCATGAGTTTCCCTCTATAGAGTGGGCCTTAATTCCAATCAGAAAGCTCTTGATTTACCCCCATTAACATTCATGCCACTATTTCACTAATGGATATATCTTGCTAGGCTGGTCCTTACTGTAGCTTACAGGGCTCATAACTGGGTATAATTACTGATAATTTTTCTCTTATAACAGGTTTCTTAACACCTTCAGGCACTATGAAAGCTAGTCAGTGGGGTGTAAACTTCCAGGTCAGTACCAGCTTGATTTCTCCATGTTCTGTGACTAAAGTGTGCAATGCCTTCAGCAATAGGGTCCTATTATCAGGTTCTGGTGGGTGACCAAGAGCAATAGCAATAGCCTGTATTGTTTTGTGGGAGTCTCTGGGACTCTCCTGACCAAAACCATGAAGGGAAGTATCCTATTCCTGGCACAGGACCTTTTGTTTAATAACTTGTGGCTTCTGGGATAAGCATTATCCCTTTGTGTAGAGTAACGCTATAGAAGGTTAGAAAATTGTTCATGTGGTTTTTAAAACCTTTTTTAAACATATATTTTTTAGGAAGCTTATAAAATAGTAGATTTCCATATGTTGTGCCCAGAGAATGGACCCCCAAGAACAACCACGCAATCCAGAAGGCATGCAAGAACAAAGAGTCTTTATTTGGGCTTAAGCTCGGACTCTCAGACCAAACTAACGTGGTAGGTCCGTGTGAGAGGCCCGATTGCAAAGGGAGGGAGCTTTTTATAGGTTTCAGACAGAGGGAGGAGGGGAATAACAGAGTCACATCTTGATTGGTCCAAGGAGCCCGCACACGCCAACACACTTTTGAATTGATTGGTTATAAGGGATGCAGTCCTGGGGGCTTCTCATTGGTGGGTGCTACCCTCAGAGCTGTGGAATGTGCTGACTGTTATCTGTAGAGCCAGAAGTCTCTGTTTCTACCTTATAAGGCTGGCCTCCTGGGGTGGGGGTGGCAGGTGGAGATTATGACATGTCTGGGCATGTTCAGGCTTGCCTGAAACAGCTAGTCAAAATGGGGTCAATATAGTTTGTCCCTTCAATCAATCAATCAATCAAGCAGTTTACAGAAGCGAAAAAGAGCAGTTAGTCCTAA